TTCAGAGGGAAAGTAGGGAGGGTGGGCGGGAGGTAATCAATCCAAGACCTTGTATGCATATATGCATGGCCTATGGACACAGACATGAAGGCCTGCGGCAGGGGGCAGGGATGGGCTGGAGGGGGACAGATGTAATACTTTTGACAATAAAAAATTATTATTTTAAATATATTTTTTTATTGATTTCAGAGAGGAAGGGAGATAGAGAGAGAGAAATATCAATGATGAGAGAGTATCATTGATTGGCTGCCTCCTGCGCACCCACTACTGGGGTGGACTGAGGCCACAACCTGGGCATATGCCCTAGACTGGAATCGAACCTGGGACCCTTTAGTCCACAGGTGGACGTTCTATCCACTGAGCTAAACCAGTTAGGGCAAGAATTATTTTAAAAAAATATATATTGTGTGTTAAGAGGTGATGAGTGCTAGGAGGGAAAAGGCAGGCAAGGTGCATGGGGTAGGTCAGCATTTGCTATAGGATGGCTCAGGAAAGACCTGGCCAAGGAGGAAACATTTGAGCAAAATCTTGAAGGAGGGGAGGAAGTGAGTCATGTGTTTATGTGCCAGAAAGGCATGCCAGTGAGAGGGAATGGATGGTAAGAAGGCCTGGAAGTGGGAGTATGTTTCATGTGTTAGACTAAAGGAACATGTAGGGGCAAGTGTGATTGGATCAGGGTGAGCAAAGAGGAAAGTGGTGAGAAATGAGGTCAAAGTGGTGATGGAGCAGATCATGTGAGGTCTAATGGGGAGGGCTCTAAGTAGAGGAGTGGCTCTAGTGTTCACAGGGTCCCTCTGACTGTATGTGGAAGACATATCACAGTGTTGGGGGGCGAGATCCAGGGAGGGAACAAAGTTAGGCAAGTGTGGGGCAAAGGAGCTGAGAGGTGGGGGGAGAGAATGGCTCTATTTTGAAGTCAAGGGACACAGGCTATCTGGAGGGATTGGATATGGGGATGAGAGAAAGAAAGGTTTCCAGGATAAGGCCAAGGCTTTTAGCCTGCACATGGAGGGATGAGGTACCATTAGTTGAGATGGGTTGTGGATATATTAAATTGAAGATGCCCATTAGACTCCCAGTGAGTGAGTGGCTGGTAGGTATAGTCTTTGGCCCAGGTCCAGCATGAGAAGTTCCTAAACTATGACTGCTAACTCCTCTCCACAGTCACTGTCAAGCCCAGACCACAGTTTCCAGATGTCCATGTCCCTTTGACAACTGGGTGAAACCCTTGGGACATACCCCTGAAATGGGCCAGGGGTCATTCATTTTGAAGGCAATGTCACAGGGGTTTCCTCACCCCTGTCCCCACCTGGCTGCACTTTCCTCATATAGCCCATGCTCTGCCAGGTCAATTGTTTGAGAATTCAAACCCAACTTCAGCCCTATAAACTAGGTGCACCTGACTAGGTGTTAGCTGCTCCATAGGTGTAGGCTTTATTGTTTTATATGTGTTTTTCTGGAGGCAGCTAGAAGCTACATGGCCCAGTTTGGGTTTCAGCTCTACCACTTAACAGCTATGTGGCTTTGGATAGTTAATAAGTTGCTTGACCTTTCTGTGCCTCACTTTTGCCATCTCTAAAATGTACTATAGCTCAGCCAGCATGGCTCAGTGGTTGAACATTGACCTATGAACCAAAAGGTCACAATTCAATTCCCAGTCAAGGCACATGGCCAGGTTGGGGGCTTGATTCCCAGTGTGGGGCATGCAGGAGGCAGCTGATCAGTGATGCTCTCCCAACATTGATGTTTCTCTCTCTCTTCCTCTCCCTTCCTCTCTGAAATCAATCAAAATATATTAAAAAAATAAATAAAATGTATTATATCCTCAACCTTGCAAGGCTGTTTGGAGAATCAAATTTGAATATGTAAAGTGCTTAGAACACAGTGCTTTGCACACAGTAACAGCTATATAAGTATTTGCAGTTATTAGAGTATTGGTTTAAGGAAAGTAGTAATCAGATTGCCCCCTGGTGAGGGTGAGCCTGGCAGGTAGTGATGGTGTGTGTGGGAGGAGGGGTGTCCTCCCCTTCCCACTTCCCAAGTGAGGCTTTTCTCCTCCTACTCAGGGTAACTTGATGGTGCCAGTGCTTATAGGCTGTCCACCGGGAAAGCGCCTGGCCTTTGACATCACCTACACCCTGCAGTACAACAACTTACAGAACAGACACTATTTTGACTGCGTTCACGTAGATCCTGAGATGCCCTGCTTCCTCTTCCGTGACAGTGCGTGTCCAGTCTCCTCCTCTGCATTGTTCACTGTCCTCTGTCCCCACCACTTTGCCCTCCCTGCCCCCTTACCTTCCACCCACTCTCTGCTCTTCCCCTTGGTCCTCTCTCTCTTTTCTCTCTTCACCATCCTCCACTTCTCGAGCCAAGCTAATTTCTCCTCTTCCTGGCTTCAACCCCCTCCCACCCACAGTCTTCCACCCATTCTTCTTGATCCAAGATTTGGTGACGGGAGAGTCTGGCAGTTTTGAGGGCAGGTAAAGGCATATCCAAACCAGGGCTGCTGGGAGGGGGGAGGGGTCATAGATATGATGCAGGACTCAGGAAACTGAGGCCAGTTGGTGTGCACCTCTGCTCCTGGCAGCTATGTACTGAAGGTGGTGGGCGGAGGTCCCACCCTGGACACCATCAAGGAATACAGCGAGGAGGAGATTTACCGCTACAACAGCCCCCTGGACAAGTAATTCTTGTGGGACCCAGACCCATAATTGGGCCTTCCTTTCCCTGCAGAACCCTCAGGCTTCCCAGCCACAGACCTTACCCTTGCTCTTGCTGCAAGCCTCACCCACCTTGGTATCTCAGGCCCCTGTCCACAGCAAGGCTCCTAAGGTCCCACAAACTCTTGCCCCTTCCACAATGTGAGGCCCTGTGCCCTGTCCACCAAAGGTTCCAACCTCTACCCCAACCCCAACCCCACCCTCACCCACTGAAGGCTCCAACCCCACCCCCACCCCC